AGAATGAGCATCCTCATGGGCTGCCTGCAGGGGATACTGCAATACAGGTAATAAATTACAGAACCCGTCGTGATTTCATGTCTGGAGCTGAGACTTTCAACCTGGACTATCCATGGAATATTGAATGACCTTTTTCAGGGCGAGCATACAAACACAGGTATCTGCTAAACATGTACAAAAGGCAGAGAATTCAGGCGATTTAGCTCCTCAAACATAGATCTTAAGCAATTAACCTAAAAGATAATGTTTACACAGACTCTTAAGGATCAGCTGGGTCAACATTTGAGCTTAATCAGGCATAAATCTCTTTAGCACAGAGAAATGGTTTGTTCAGGTGTCCATACAGCACCTGCCTGAAGTCAGCACCACGATCAAAGCACCACAACTGCTTGTGTTTGAGTGGCAGAGCCCAGTGGTGCCTCAGCTCCTGCAGGACCTGCCCTCGGTGGGAAAGCACACGCAGGGCAGTGGGGTTAAGAGCACACAAGCCAAACGTTCTGGTAAAATTCACAGCTATGATGGATATGGCCAACAGCTCTGAGGCACATCAGGAGTGTATTGCAATTCCAAAGGGATAATCAGCAGAGATGGATTCCTAATTTTGTATCAAGATAACCCATAGAGATTTGCAGTAGAGCTACATGATCCAGCAATGCAGGAGCAAATACCTATGAAAGAACATCAATGGAAGTCCATAAATTAACCTTCTCAAGTCAACCTCCTGGCTTATTATCCCTGTCACTGGTTCAGGACACTGACCCAACCCATCAGAACAAAGCTGCCATTGTCTAACTACAGCTGAGCTTGTAGCAGGGGGACTTCAGTCATACAGTCTTGAGGAACAATGCTCACAGAAAAGTTAAACAAGCCTTACTGAAGCAGGAAAGCACTGTTTGCCTACTTCATTCAACAATTTGCATCTATATTCAGATGTAAGATTAAATATACCAGGTTGCACACTTATCTCAAGAATGCCCGTTGCTTTGATTTCCCTAGGGAAATCTAATAATGGAAAAGTTTATCTTCTTTCACACTGTAGCTGGAGCAAATAAGAATCACTGCAAACACCCATTCTTTGTTCACTGACATCTCAGAATGACAGCTGTAAAATTCACCCCATCTATGTATTTTTGCAGAATGCATAAAATGGTTGAGGTTTCCTTTTTTTTTTTTCTTTACACTTTTAGATTTTCCTATTATTCTATTCCTCTGAATGCAGAGAAATAGGAATGGCCCGTTTCATAAGAGATTAAGGAAGCACTGACTTTACATTTTCCTGACTTTATATTGCTACTGAGTAAAGAATATCTGCAGTGGACACCAGGTAATTCCTTTCAAGTCAGTAAATCCGTGAAGCTTTAGACTATCTAAACTCCCAATTCAGAGACTTAATGTGGATCCTCCTGACTACTGCACACAGATGTGCTAAAATCCCATTTACAAACTGAACTTTACTTCTGCTTTCCATCTCCTTTCCCCATCTGTCCTCTACTTCTCAAAACACTTGGTCTGTTCTCCCTTCTTTCAAAAGTCATTGGCAAATGCCAGAGGAAAGTAATTACTACCATTCACACCTAACACCACAGCAGCCTAATACCAAAGAGCTTACAGGTGTGCTCTGACAACCCAATACAAATGTCACATGTGCAGAACACAAAGATACATGATCAGAGTCTCACCTGCTCTGCATCTTAGTGTATAAAATGTAAATAGGCTGAAATGTCTCTCTCATACTGCTCACTTCCCATTCACTCAAGCAAACTCGGTGGGAAATCTCATCCCTTGTCACATCATCAGACAGCAGCACTATTCCTAAGGCAAGACCTTCACAAACATCCTGTGTGTATTGTCACATAAACCTTTGCAACATTTTAGCTTCTATTTCTTGCTTTCCTTTTCTTAGCATTTCCATTAATAGCTTTTCCATGTTTTTAAGCCCACCACAAATCTGTAACAACTGCTTGCAGACCTTGTCTAACTCCTGTCTATCCCAGTTTCCCAAGTTTGTTTAGTGCTCTGAGTAAACCTGGTCTAGTGAAAGGTGTCTCTGCTTATATCAGGGGAGTTGGAATAACATGATCTTTAAGGTCCTTTCCAACTCAAATCATGCTGGGATTCTAGTGCTGGAGTTCAACAAATATCAGGAGGTGAGGATGAATTACCCAAATGCATTATGCAGGGACTAGTCAACACAACCAAACAGCCTCCATCTTTCCCTCCTAAACACCTGTGCAAACAGACTTCAGTTTCTCCATTTCTACTTTCAAAGCTCCTATTTCCAAAGGAAATAAAAACTTTACAAAAAGTTAGCTGAAGCAAATGCTTCACAGGAAGATATGGTGGCTGCATCACACACGAGCTAGACAACTACTCCAGGAGTGCCTGTCACATTTGTGGCAATGCCTTCAGGAGACATAAATTCAGTTCCAAAAGCAACCTTAGCTACCACCAGGACCAAGGCCAGAAGTTAAATGGCAGCCAGGGAGATGTTGAGAGGAGTGTCAGGACTTGATCTGGGAGCAATTGTTAAACACTGTATGTGACACAGACACACAAGGCTGGGAACACTTAGGAGCTTTCCCTTTACAATTTAGATGGTAAATGCTATTGCAAGCCAGCTGCAACAAAACAATCCTCTTAAAAAAGCAGATGTAGCATTTTCAGGGATGTTTTAAAAACCCAGAGAAATTCTGGAAAGAGGTAATTTTCATTTTGGCAGAACACAGTGTTGGGAACACCTGTACAATAAGAAAAGGATGAAGGGATGTAGCAACCACACACTCTAAGAGCAGCCCTGGCTTGATATTCAGCAATTTTATTCAAGCATTTGTTTTGCTATCTGTCTTACCTAGAAAAACGGGAGCTGGCCAAAACCAAACGCTCCAGCCCTACACTTGGAAACACTATTTCAAACACAGGTCAAACAGATCCAGCAACCTGGGGAAAGGAAGACTAAGAACAAACCTGCATGATAAGGCTTTGCTCCCACATACAGGAGCTGCTACCACCATCCATTTCTCTTCTAAAGACATAAGCATAACAAAAACAACTCAGAAGAGCTCAAAAATCTCACTGGTATTTAGTGACAAAGTACCAATGCAATGCAATGTGGAAAGTTACTCTAGACTAAAAAAAAAACTGAATTCAACGTGGACTAATGAAACTGTATTTCAAACCTCTACAGCCAGGCTTATTCAGAATTAAACTAGGTATAATCAGCTCTAACATAACTCAATTTTGAAGAAAATTGGGTAAAATAGAGGCCACATTGAATAGCTACAGTACGGAAAGGTAAGGACAGGCAGACAGGGTGAAATGCAAGCACCAAATCAGATCAAGCTTCCCATTCTCCTGTGCAGAGACTTCCTAAATGAATTTGGATTCCTTTGCATTACTTAACTTGATCCATCAAGTACAGTCCTTACACGATGCACTGAAGGACACTGGATTCTGAGTGCTGTGTAGTGTCAGGAGGAGCAGCACCTGCATTTCCATCTCCCAGGGATGCCCAGCTGGGGGTGGCTGAGTGCATCCACCCTGGCTGGGCAATGATGGCTGATCAAGGCAGTCTCTGCCCTTGCCAAAAGGACAGATGAGGGACAAAGAACCACAAGACATAAAAGCCTTAAAAACTCTTCCAGCACTGAGGACTGAGTGCCAGACCCTGACCTGATCCTGACACACAAGCAGGCACTGCTCACTGCTGTCACACCTGGACTAGGCCTTCAGGAAAGCACGAAGTAGGTGATTAATTTTGCACATATAAGCTGTACCATTAGACTTTGCACCCTGTGGGATCCTGCTGTATTGGCATTGAAGCTGTATTCCATTAAATCTGTCTGGGCACACATTTCCTCCACAAAGTGTGCATTTATAGGACTGTTAAAAATGTCAAGGACTTTGAGCTTCAGATTCTGACTTCTGACTTCCCAGTTCAGATTTTCACTCATATAAATGCCTTAATTTCCATTTATATTGTCCATTTAGTTCCAAGCCTTTACTAGCCTAGACTGAACTAGTTCTGACTGCCTAAAAATCAGCAGAAACTACTGATTAAGGCAAGGGCCCTGAAAGAGTCCCCTGTTGAGGCTTGGAATCTCAGTCACTTAAGAGCTCTCTGGCCTTGTGTGCCTTAACTCATTCTGTAGTGCCCAGGGAAAAAAATTAATATGTGAAGTATAGTAAGGAACAGCCTTTTACAGAGGCCTCACTAGATGATCAGCTGAGCTACAGCTCCTCTTCACTCTGAGGTTTGCCAAACCCCATGGTAAAGTCCTGGACTTGAGCAGCAAGACCACCTTACTTCCTGTCCTCAGCTGAACAGGATACAAAATACACAATAACAGCAACCACAGAAGGTGTTCACTGCTCCTAAATTTCTCCTTTGAGTGGCATCAAACTGCATTTTGATAAAATACACCAGGGATGTGGCTCAAGCTTCTGTGAAATCGTGGACAACTGGCACCTTATTAATCTTTGATTTCACTGCAGTCTCCTTGTGCTGGCACCTTTGCTTATTGACATCTCAGCTTTTGGAGAGTTAATGGTTGGAAAAATCAGCATTGTCGAACCTGAAGGTCTTAATTTTCAATTTAAAGTAAAATCACCCACTTCAGAATCAATCTGTTTCCTTCCTGCATTGATGTTCCTACCCAGGACTTCAGATAATCAGTCCCACCAGGGCAAACATTGGGAGTGGATTGCTATCAAAGCTGAGTGAAAAATAATTTAAAGATACACTACCAAAGATGTCCTCATAAAAACTCTTCCTGTTCTCTGAAGAGTTCGAGGACACTTAGAGCAGCACTACCAGCCCCGTTCCTGCAGGTCTCACCCTCCACAGACAGCGTGCTCAGGAGTGACCTGGCAGCTCCTCACTCTCACACCCTCTCACACCCTCGTGTCCCACCGGTGTCTGCTGACATACAGGTCACTGCAGCATGCACTGCAATAGCGCCAGCACCACAAGACAGCAAACGCTGCAGCGGCTCAATACTCACACTCAGCAGGAGGCACTTGTTTTCTTTGATGGCACCTATGCAGCCCACGAAGCCAATGATCATGACAAACGTCCCTGTGACGATCAGGAGGTTGGCAGCTGACAGGGACGGGAAAGAAGAGGAGAGGGTGGCAAAGTTCCCTTGGGTAACAGCCAGCCAGATGCCTACACCAAGGATTCCACAGCCTCCCAACTGGGAAAACAAAGAGAAACAAAGAAACTCAGTTATTGTAGCCACACAACACCAGATAGGAAATCATGGCAATATGGCAGTGGAGCAAACCAGCAATCACACCTAATGAGAAATGATCTCTCCCTATGGCACTTTCAGTAGGAAAAACAAAGGGGAAAGAAAAAAAAAAACTTATAGGGAAGCCATCAATAAGATGCAACGCACAGATTTCCTAAATCAAAGACACAACTGCAGATTGCAGGTTTTTTGCTCTCTAGTGAAAAAGCAGACACTGAGTAAAGGATAAATTCCCAAAAGGTCAGCTCCTGATGGGATTTGAAAAAAATCCCTGTCCTATTTAGGTAGCTTAGAGAACTGCCCATAATGGTTGAAGCATTTTTGATTCCCCATTCTTCCCATCCCTGACACATGCCATAAACAAGCCTTGCCAGAGCATGCCCCTGGCAGGACACCTCATACTTCTTAGTTAACTCTCCTCTAAGGTCAAGCCTCTCCTGGAAGCATGAGAGCATTTAGAGTGTCAGGCAAAGAGGATTTTGCATTATTATTTAGTCACACAGCACAGCATCACTTAGGTTTCTTTCTTTCCTGCTCTCCCTTTAAAATAACCAGTTTTTATTGAGTTTATAATTGCACTTTATTATCCAAATCAATTAAAGGCTTGGAAAAAAATTGTGTTCATAGAGTAGTAAGCCAGACATATGCAGGAGCATATCCACTAAATACCTGCATAAAGTAGATGAACATAAGGCAGCTCATGAACCAGGGAAGGAAAAAGATAGAGTTAATCCTGAGGCAGAGCTAAACCTCAGAAATTAAACACAGAGGAGAAACACAAAAGCCAAAGCAATTTCTTACACTAATTACTAAGGTTGTCTCTTAATGCCACTGAATTCCTCCCCAAATAATGGACAATAAAAGCAGCTGTGTTTTAAGGCAGCATTCCTCACCCCAGCTGCAAACCAGTCTGTTTTGTTCAGAGCTAAGGAACCAAGCTATAGCTCGCTACAGGGTACCTCAGCTGCACCAACCTGTGCGTCTCCACTGAGAGAAAGCAAACTCCAAGACACAGGGACTCCAATTGCCCCATTTAGGAATATTTTGCCTATTTCAGACATCTCACATGAGTGTATTCAACCTCTCTCAAGTACCCTCCTACAAGTGCCAGGGAGGGGCAGTCCCTGCCCTGACCATACACCCTGGAAATACATCCCCTTTATTGCCACTTACAGAACATGGTCCTTAACACTGTTAAAATGATTAAAGAATAACCAAGGGAGAAGAGGGGGAAGAATACTTCAGAGAAGGTAATCCACAGAAAATCACTTAGGCTAAGGGAGGGGATATAAAGAAAAGCTACCATCATGGTCCAAAGAAAACAAAATGGAATCCTACAGGAACAAATTCCCTAAAGAGAGAATAAAACTCTGAAGGTCTGCTGAACAGAACAGCATCAAAGAAGATGTCACAAACACTTAAGCTAAAACCACACTGGTCAGAGTGCTGAAATGCAGTCAGGAATAGCACTAAACTGGCTGAGGAATGGGATGAAAAGCAGAAATGCACTTCTGCCTCTTCAGTTTGGTGGATGCTTGCCTCAAGCCCAGCCTCAGAGCTGCAGGCACGGGCAGGCTGCTCCAACAGCCCAATTAAGCCTAATGAAGGTGGATGCCCAAGAGCAGCAGAGCCATGACCTTGCAATACATTCAGCTCTTATCTTCAGTTCTTTGTTCTGAAGCAACTCACCAGCCCCAGTAAGAGGCAGCTTGTTTCATCACCTTTCATGCTCCCCGTGCTGCTACCCTGCTCTGAGTGCACCAACACCTACAACCATCACTTGTATTACAGCAGGCAAGACCTGCCTGCCTGCTCCTCCATCATCCACTAAATTCTTTACTATGCACAATGCTTAACGCTTGAGACACTGTCTCCTGGATGCCTGAATTCACCATCTCTGACTCCAAAGTCATTCTTGTTTACAGGAACTGGAAATTCATCAGTGGCATGAAACATCAGAAAAGCAGGACACAGCTCATGCAAAATGCCATCACTGGGGCTGTAGCCATTTAGATCAGAGATGAATATTTCAGCTCAGTTGTCCAGAAGGAATATCTCACTACACTTCCCTTGATTCAAAGATACCTCTGCTCTCCAGCAGCTCATTATATTCCTATTTTTGAAAAGATAATGCACAGCTCTTCCTTAGGTTGATTGACCAAGGAATCCTTTGAACATTAAATCACCTGGCTCAAACTGTATTTCATAATATCAGCACACATTACTGGAGACTGCTCCACCTTAGTTCAGCTCTGCTCCTTTTCCCACACCAGAATATCTACTCATGGTCCCCAAATAAATTTACTAAGCTGTCAGACCAGGCACACCAGGAAACAGAGGCTGTCCTTAGATCTAGACTAAACTGCTCTTTAAAGCCCCCTTTTTTCCCCAAGGAGCAAAGCACCCCTGCAAGTTTCCATCCAGTGGCCTTTTAACACTCAAGCACCTGGTTAAGGAAATGTTTAAAGACTCAAGACCCACCAAGACAGCCACAGGAGCCTTTCCAACAATAGCCAAATGTTTTCTACTGCAGAACATTCAAAAAGCTTGCTCCTCATCCCCTCTGCCCTCCATTCTGAACTGAACTGCAAGGTAATTCCCAGTCTGAAACCCAGGGATTAGAGGCATCACATTTACTTAATCTGGATCAGAGCCAAGAGAAAACAGTTGTAGTTGGTTCTATGCTGCATGTCTGTTTTTACTTCCTCCTCTTGGTATCTAAGGCTTGGATAATTTTAAATAGTTATTTACGATGTTCCTTCTCCTCCACTTTTTCTCTCCTTATCCCCATCCCCAACCCCCAGCCCCTTTTTTTGTGTCAAAGAGTGTCAGAAGCATAGTGAGGAAATAATAAGTTTTGGCAGTTTTCTGGGCTGGTTGATATGTGAAATTAAACAAAACCATTAACAGGGCTACTTTTGACAATTTGGGGGCTTCTGCACAAACAGTGATGCTGTCATTGTCAGAAGAGAAATCATTAAGACAGAAAGATTAGAGAGAAGTCTACGGCTTGAACCTGATCTATTGGCAGCCAAATGAGAGTCTGAATGAACTCCATTTAGTAAGTGCAAAGTTGGCTTTAAATTTTTTTTTAAAAGTCTCCTTCAAAAAATGCCAGGCTACTGACAATAGCGTTTTTTAAAATTCCTTTGTGAAATGTTTAACATATTATTTGCCTAATTTTTCATGATAATCTATTCTCTTGCAAGCAAGGCAGCTCATAGCAAAACCTGAATCAAAATGCAGCTCCCTCTTAACTTTTTCTTCCTCCCTAATAAATCTTGTATATTTTTTTTGCAAAGCCTTTTATTCTAAGGTCAAAACAGTGGGACACCAGAAGGAATGCTGTCACAGCCCTAAGACAGAGGATACCTGAGTGAGGTGTTTGCTCCAGGAACGACCTCAGTGTAAATCTTGAACGGGCAGGTTGGTCCATCTGTGCAGAACTGTGAGGAAAGGACACGAGCAGTGGGTTCTTTGCAAACCCTGGACTTTGCAATTGGCTGTGGAAGTAGCAGAATATTCTGCTCAAGACAAATGGCTCCCAGGCATTTATAGAGCAGAGTCAAGCAGTACAGCAGGTGTCTCACTCTAAAAGCAGAGATGATCTGTCTCTTCTTCCCCAAGAGATACACAGACACGTGCACTTGCTCTCTTGGCAAAAAAAAAAAGCTGCCTGTGGAATTAGATCCTCCAAATTGTTCTAATGGGCTAGAAAATAAATTATTCAGGCTTCAGTGCCTACATTTAGAATTGATCTTACAGTATGATAATCAAAGTAATCCCAAACAGCCCTGGATATATGCTTGTTGGTGGAGAAAATTATTCTGAAGTTACAGCTACACACTTAAAATACTGCAGGAGAAATTGACTCATTGTTCATGAGAATGGTGCTGGTGTATTTTAAGTAGGGTTTTTTATTGGTTTTATTACATGGAAAATGCATCTAATTGAGGTTTTTCATACTGAATCTGATTAGGATCTACTAATCACACTTCCTCTTTTAGCCAAAAAAAAAAAAATTAAAAAGAATTCCTTGTGTGTTAAGAAATACACTGATAACAGAATCCAAGTGGAAGATATGACCAGTTGTTCTGCAGTTAAACTAACTCCCTTGGAGGATTTTTCTCCCCCAGTCTCTACATATTTAAACTAGAAGGGCTCTCTCAACCCCACTTGCTTGAATATGCTTCCCCTGCCAAGTATGGAGTTAAAGTACACAGTGAAAAAAAACCCCAGCGTCTAAGTATCAACAGCAGTGATGTGAACATTATCCTGCAAATGTTCTTGTAATATCAGGCACACTTAAATTACTGCTGCTTTCAGCTAGATGCAGAGAGGAGGTGGAAATGGAATACATTTGTGTATTGACAGGATCAAATGAATCAAGAATCTTATGTGGAGAAGCAGGAGCAAGGGTGTAAGTGCAGAGGCTGCAGTGCTGCCCTGGAAATGACCTGTCCATGCAGCTGTCCATGCTGGAGGGAGTGGCCACTTGTGGCAAACACCTTCAAACACATTGGCCACTTGTGGCAACCAGCTTCCAGCAGGCAGCTCATGGCCATCAGAGCACGGAAGCCCTTGTAGCCATCCATGTGCACCATGACCAGTGTGCAGTGTGCAAGTGGTGTCCCCCCACACGGATCTGACACATCAACTAGGAGTGTCACCTCAGTGTGGCACAAGCTGCATTGCTCTCACTAGCCAGAGGTCTGAAATTTAACAAATGTGGGATGGAAAAAGCACATTTTTATGCTTAGGAGTATTGAGGCTCTAGAGCTGTGCAGTGTAAAACTAAAGGATATGCACGAATTCCATCCAAAATGGCCATGATCTGAGCTGTGTCCTTTTAGCGAGAATTTAAAAAGAACCAGGAAAAAAAACCAAACCAAGAACACTTTAGAAAATATCAGTTAGTAGGGACCACACTCCTGGGAGTGAAG